AAAACGAAACCACTGATTCCACATCGTCATCATCGATACCGTCACACTCGAAATGATCGCGTGGGATTGCAATTCGAATGAATCGCGAAAGAAAATCGCAATCGTCGCCGCTCTCACCGACGTTCTCCTAATAAGAGGGTGTTCGGGGGTGTAAGTCTAATATTATGTAATAGGGGCCACGTGGCAGCCGTTCAGTCCCCCGGAATCGAATTCGGTCAGACCTCGGGTCTCCGCTGTGTCGATTGTCGTAGGAGAAAGGAAACGTAGCCGCCCGTATTCCGCATAGCTACGTTGGGTTTCATCCCTCTCGAGTCAACGTTCACAATGAACTGCACCCCGCGGCAGCGGCAGCCAGTATTCAGCCTTTAATCCGATTATTCCTTTCGAATCAACGAGCACCACGTTTCATTCCCGGATCCGTGTGCCCACTTACCGAACCGATGTTCGACCTGCGCGCGTGTAATACGGGCGAGAAAGAAACGTGCCGCGCGGAAAAAATCCGTGTAATCGGTTACATCTCGATCAGAAAGACGAATCTTTCTTTTATTTACATTTCATCATGTAGGTTGGCTAGATTCGTTAAGATACGATTGCTTTTTCGAGCGAAAATTATCGAATAGGATTTTTTTCGGGTATCGAATCTATTAAGAATTCTAAAAGAAAAGTGAGGTTAAGATACTTACTACTTATCGGAAAATATCGTTATAAGTCGAAAATGTTTTCGTAAAATATCGTTATAGGTCGAAATTACTATAGGTATGTATTAATATAATAATTTTAATATCAAAATTATCATAAGATTTATCGTTATAAATATTTGCATTATATAGATATATCATGTAATATATTCTATATATTCAATTCAGATTCTAATAATTATTTTCAATCTTTGCAAGAATTTTTTTTAAAAATTATCAAGTTATTTTCCTTTTTTGACTAACATCTGCACTTTATCCTTTCCAGTTTTCAAGGTTCAGAAACGATCCAAACCAAAATACTTCAATGCATTCCAATAGAAGTACAATAATCTCTCGAGTGACAATTAAATCACCGCCATCCCTTCAATGACCATCGCGTTTCACCTTCGAATTGAGTCGTTCGCAAACGATCTCCCGCAGATCCTCGGAGAAGGGAAATACACGACTATCGAGGATAAAATAACGAAGCGATGCGAACGTGTAATGGCAACGTGGTTCGTTCAAGAGGAAAGAAATCGGTTCGGCCGTGAAACCGCGTACGGTGAATTGGTATTTAAAAATATGCATGCCGACAGATGCGGTTTCCATGTCGCACGCTTCCACCGGCTCCCATAAATATGATAAGGCCCTATAAAGAGATATACGAGCCTATAAGCCGGTTTCACGTACCTACCAACTCGGGAAGATTCAACCGAGCTCGTACATTGCAAAATGAGGAGCAGAAGCGAACGAATGGACCAAAGATTACGCGTTAACGTTCATTAATTAGAGGGTTAATCGGTAGTAAGCAAGATACAATGTAAGGAAGATTTGGGATGAGGTCGGTGAATCCTGTTATTATGGTACACAACTTAAAAATAGTAAGTTACATATCTATAATGATAAAAAAAGCATCGAAGAAAACTTTTATATATATATATATATATAAAAATTTACCTAATCCTAAAATTTATGATTTTAATGAAACTTCGTACGTAGTTGTACAGAATATGGAATAATTATATCTTTTGGGAGAGGTTTTAGCATTTTTTTACATTTTTGTGTATAATTTTATCTAGGAATTTTTTGCAGTAGAGTGATGAAGTTCTAAATTGGATATTATAATTTAAAAGGAAACTATGCACTAAAACTTTGAGCATTGATTGCACCTCTTTATAATGACATTTTTAATAAAAAAAAAAAAAAATAGTTCCATATATAAACTCATTATGCTTTAAACAAATTTCATTTAAAAAAAAAGCGTTCAAATACTTTGATGAGCTACTACATAGATAGATATATAATTTACTATTTTTAAACCATGTTTGCTTTCATCAGACTGTAGATTTTTACCTCATCGAGAACACCGTGAAGGGACGAACGCGAGAACGAAGGGACGCATCCCTGTCAACCCTCTCCTCTTCACCCTCGCACGGTTTTCGAACGGTAACAGGGCCTCGGTTGAATTTTCACGTATCCATCGGCGGAAAAGTAAAATGGCCGTTGGCGTGCGTACGGCCGTTGATCGATAAAAGCGTCGCGACGCTGGGCGTGTCCGTCCGTGCAAGCCGCCTCCGCAACGCCCCGCGAACCGCCGCGAGATACTCTCACGAAAAGTTTACCCCGTGTCGTCGACAAACGGCGCAAGCTGCAAAAAGGCGAGGTCCTCCTGCTAACAAACTGCCGCCGTGTCCCCCTCATGTTCCTCTTCGACCTGTTTGTAGACCCCCTCCTCTTCTCCCTCGAAATAATCCTCGTTCGCTCCACGATCCGCCTTCTCGCGTCTTTCGCGAGAAACTCGGGGAGAAAATTTTTGTCGGAGAGAAATCTTCCATGGAAACTTTGATTTTTATTCCTGATATGTCTTTAAAAAAAAAATCACGTAACTTCTTCTCGTAATCTGGTCGATTGTTTTTTATTTTTAAGATTTTTAAGTAGAAAGAAGAATCTCTTTCTTCTTTTCATTTTTTCTTTCCTTTCAGGTCCACTCTTTTTCTTCATTCGACCGAGTACTATGAGACAATGGAGCATCCAGGATGAAGGAGTTGACATTCATATGATTAGTGGAATGTACAGTTTAATAGAAAACTTGATAAATATCGATGGTCGATGCAAGTCTCAACTTCTTCTCATAATCTGGTCGATTGTCTTTTATTTTTAAGATTTTTAAGTAGAGAGAAGGATTTCTCTTTCTTCTTCTCATTTTTCCTTTTCTTTCAGGTCCATTCTCTTTCATTCGACCGGGTACTATGGAGACAATGGATCATCCAGGATGAAAGAGTTGACATTCATATGATTAGTGGAATGTACAGTTTAATAGAAAACTTGATAAATATCGATGGTCGATGCAAGTCTCAACTTCTTCTCATAATCTGGTCGATTGTCTTTTATTTTTAAGATTAAGTAGAGAGAAGGATTTTCTTTTCATTTTTTCTTTCTTTTCAGGTCCATTCTCTTTCTTCATTTGACCGGGTACTACGTAGTCGCGGAGACGATGGAGCATCCAGGACGAAGGAGTATAAATGGATTAGGAGGGTCCTGCCGGATGACTAAGTTTTAGCCAGGGCAGCGCCGGCGCCAAATCCAATTTGATCTTAACGTTAACTCGATCCCGCGTACGGTTACACGGTGAATTAAACGTCGTTGACAACGTGGAGGTCTCAAAAATACTCCCTTATGGATACCTCGCCGATACAAGCCAACAAGTGGCGAGTCGATCACTTTTTTCTGCCAGAAATTTCGAGGATACTTATTTACTTATTTATTTATTGCTTTAAATTAGATACAGCAAATACAGATCACAGTAAATCATTTTGATTTTTTATAGTGCACGAATAATTAATGTGAATCATATTTAAACTGTGTAATCACACTATATAAGAATGTTCAAAATTATATTTTTAGATCCAGTCTTGTATGTAGTATACAATCTGCCATTTACTATATTAACTAGATTTTTAATCTAGAATTTGTAAAATTTCTAGAAAATTTATGATAAAATCGAAAATAATCAATGTCAATGAACATTCTTATCTATTGTTTTAATTTATAAAATCTTAATAGAATCAATATATTTGATTATTAACAATAATTATAATTTGAAATAAAATTCTGATATTTTTATTTGAGATAAAATTTAACACACGATTCATCAAATTCATCAATTTTTCAGATATTCTCAAGATTCATCATCAACACACGGGATCTAACGAGATACAAATATTTATTACCATCCATATCAATCAAAGTTCCGACCATCCATTTCAACAACCTTGTGGGACATCAAAGCGTTCTCCTGCTTCCGTATCGTCCTCCTTGATCATCCTCGTCCTCAAAGGAGAACTCTGAAATCTCGATGGCGTATACAGAAGCTCGCGTAATCGCTTCGAATCCGATTATGCATTAAAGATCCTGCCGCTGACTTCGCGATTTCGCGATGATCTTCGCGCTTTGTAAACGACCAGGGATGTTCCATCCTTGCCACGTACCTAACTTGAAAAGTTGCTGGATCCCCACGACTGGTTCCGTTGGAAAGGAGCAGAGCCACGGAAGATGATTACGGTGGAGGGTGGACTGGTAAAATTGGGGAGAACAAGGTGAATTCGGGTGGCTCGGGTCCGGTTTATCGAGCTGGAACAACAAGCGGCAATCAGGCATAACTCGATCATTTCATTCTTCTACGTTCGTGCTCCGCCCTCGATCTTCGTGGCCCTTCCTGTGTCGCCCCCGAACTGCTCGCGATACACACGCGTAGAGGATGATTCAAAAGTGTAAAGATGAAATGGAAATGGACGTGATGTAGATATATGCAAAGTTACATCACAACGAAAGTATGAGAATAAAATTTTTCTTTGTTGTTTAGATATGATGATGATATTCGTAGAAAACGATTCAAAAATATAAAGTTGAAGTGGAAATGGATAAAATTTCGTTTAATAAAGTTTTGTAAGTATGTTACATCAGATCATAAAGAAATATGAGAAATATAAGTTAAGTATAATGAGTATAATGAAATGTGCAAGAATATATATAAAAGATGATTCAAAACAATAAGGATGAAGTGAAAATGGATGTTTAATAATTTTTGACTAATTGAAATATTTAATATTACTATATGATATATATATATAATATAATTATTCGTATCAGATAATGACAAAATGAGAATAAAATTTTTCTTTGTTGCTTAGGTATGATAAGATATGCGAGAACATGCATAGAAGATGATTCAAAAGTGTAAGATTGAAGCAGAAATGGATGTTTCGTATGATGGAGTCTTCAACCAACTGATGGAGTAATATTTGTTCGATGTATGCATACTGGGATATAAATTCTTGTCATAAGGAGAAATTAGTGAAACATAGATATCTTTATGGAAAATATAGTAAGATATTATCGTCGAGATTTCAAGAACTCAAATCCTGTTTTGTGATGAATTGACAGAGGAATGTCGTTACATCGATTATGTAAATAGATATTTGAAACTATCTATATCTACAAGAAATAACGTAGGCGATTGTGTGAGTTAAGATATCTTTATAGAATCTCTCCCCTTGTTTCGCGGAATCTCGATGGAATCGCGAAATCCCAACCAATCTGCTTCAGTTCGCACGTGTTTTGAATATCTAACTCGTGACAGAAAAGAAACACCGATAAACTTCTTATTTTTCCACAAAACGATCATAATTTTTGAAGTTACTTTTCTTATCTAATAAGAAATATTCAAAATTAAGACTATGATTATCAAGATTCAATTTTTTAAGATTAATTTTATTATTAAATAATTTCAACGAAGCAACAATAACGTTACTTTCGATATTCCATTATAAATAAAATTTCAAAAATTGGAAAAATAAAAAATAAGTCGTATCCGAATGTAAAATTTGTATGCAGGTATTACGTTTATACAGAGTGCATACTAGCTAAATATTATGCACCCCCGATAGTCGATTCGTCATTGGTCGATTCGGTGGCTGCATACCGCGCAGGCGGGTTATCAGAGAGGGAGGTAGGGGTGCAAACCCCTAATTTCTGGAACAATAATTTTAGTCATCGGCACGGTGGTCGATTTGCGAATCGCATTACGCCACGCTCAAAGGGCCAACGAGACTCGATTCTCTCTGTTAGTAAATTCTGTCGGTCGGTCGATTATTATTACTACTCGAAACGGGATGGCATATGTAATGGCCCAGGAATCGGAGTGGGCGGTCTGTTTTCATTGAAAAAAAGCTCACCTTTCTTCGTACCATATATTTGTGCCGATTTAATGTACATAATCGATGAATCGAAAAAAAGATTCAAAAGGGTTGACATTATTGAGGATGGAGGCATTGCGGGTATTGTGAGGTTCGAACAGATATTTTTCTTAATTCTTAAATGCACGATGTCATTTGGCGAAAGACACGTAACATTTATTTTATGATGTTTTGGAATATACACAACTAGTATAAAAAGTTCGAAGTCATTAACGTGATCGAAGATTTGAAGAATTGAAAGAGAATTTAGATTAGGAGTTGATAAATCTTTGTTTCAATTTTTGATGAATTTTTCAATTTTTTTTTAAATTTGATTTCATTTTTCAATAAAATTCAATAAAAATACTTTTTTTGTTAATAATAAACGATGAAATGCAATTTATCGATTTACCGTTATTTTATTAATAAAAAATATTATTTTTTGTTATGACATTTAAAATAAAAGTTTTATCGGATAATCACTCATAATATAGCGTTCATTTATAAAAGATACTTTAGTAATTCTCAAATACATTTTTAGATGTAAAAAAGAGAGCAGATCAGATTTTTTTTTTTTTGGATTTGGATTTTTATTGTTATTAAAACAATATCTATTGTAAATAAATCCGAATTTTTAATAAATCCTAACTTACAATATAGATCTGCTTTCTTTTTATAGGACTTTCTATTTAATCTTTTTTAATCTTTCTATTTAAATCTTTTTTATTTTTTATTGCAGATTTTTAAATAAAACTAAATGAACCATCAATAATAGAATCAAGAAAATATTCACTCAGCTTGGATTTACAATGTGCCCCAGCTTTGCACCTTCCTGTACCGCACAACATTATTCGGTCCACTTGTCGGCACCCCTCAGCGGCAACCCTTACACAGCCACCCTTCCGTAATCCTGTTACCAAGCACGACGGCTTCTACGCACCTACGCAATCGTCTACCTACCCTCTCTGTTCTTATAGCCTGGTAAAAAACAATGGATGACACGGATCACGATTCAGCGATCGTCGAAACTAACTAAAAAACAATCTTCAATATTTGAGATTTCTTTTTTTGCCTTTCTTTTGTTTGATTTTCTAAAAAGTAAAAAAGGTATATAACATTTTATAGATATAACGAATAAAAAATTATAAATAATATAAATCTCATATGTTAAATTATTACAGATATTCTTTCAAATCTATAAGAAGAATAAAAAAAAGAAGAATCTTATGAATTGTAATAGAAAGTTAATGAAGAAACGATCGGTTCAAGGAAACATCAAAGAGACCAGTGGAATTGGAAATTGCATGCAAATCACAAGGAAAGAAGGAGTTTATTTCTTCCTTTATCTTCACAAGCTCCCTTCATTTCCGATCGCTTCCTTCCTTCCTGTCAAACCATCCTCGTAGCCGCAAATTAGCCGCCAACGTCCAAAAGAAAGTTAAAAGAGGGTTTGTTCGCCACAGCCATTTACATTTACAACCCCAATGCTTCGTCTTGCAATCTTCTGTGCCTATCTCTTTTTATACTGTTCATTCTAGCTGCGGAAATTCGTGATCGATTGACCGTATCGACTGGTATTTTTCCACCATGATAATTATTGTCTCCCGAACGACAAAGTGATTTGCATGAATTTACATCGCAATCGATTTTTCCTTTCAGCGGTGATGAATTTGCTTGAAAGTTTGATACGATGCGAAAATAATTATATTTATTCATTTATTTGTTTTATTTTATAATTATTATATATCATGTTTTATCAAAATAATTATATTTATTCATTTATTATTTTATCATACAAAAAGAGAATAAAAAATAAGAATGTATGCGTAAAATTAAATAATGATTGAAATATGTGACATAGTTTTATACTGTATTTTTTGATTTGTATGCATTTAATTTATCTCTGTCTTCTTGTGGAATAATTCAATAATATTAAAGAATTGATAAATTACAAGCTATGAATTATCGAAAGAGAGAATTAGAGTTATTAAAGTATAATATTAATATATCTGTGTTAGAATATTTCGAAAAATGTATTACATATTTATATATATGTGATATAAAATTAAATATTAAAATATTTGATCTAACGTAACTTTTTCTTCAATTTGTATTGATCATTTATTTTTTAATAAAATTAAAAATATATCGAAAATTTGATATCAAATCCATTATCCGTTTTAACGTATCAATTGTTGCAGATGGGGGGTTCAACACATGATAGAACACGACATGTGCTACTAGCTACCACAATTCACCCTGTGTCTTATATGTCGAGTAAATGAGATAACAAAAGAAGAAGAGATTTTTGATTGAAATTTCTTTGTTTAATTCTTTTCACGTGAGTATATTAATTCAGAATTAATCTCGTAACATTGTGAAGATATTAAAAAGGGTCATGAAGAATTTACAATTTAAAAAAATAAAATTCAATTTTCAATATTTCTATAACATTTTATTTTATTTTATTTTATTCAACTTTTTAAATGTCATTGCATTATCGTAACAATATATAGTTTCTATTATATCATACTATATAATTTTATTTAATTTTGACTTATTACTTATATCATACTATATAACATTACATTTAATCATGATTTATTACCACATGAAAACATATTTGAATTCATAACTCAAATAACACCAGTAGCAATAATTTTATATCTCAATTACATAACTAAAGATACCAAACCATATCGTACCCCTATTATTACAGTTGTAAGTGTAACTCTTAATCCTCTCATGGGGATGGTCATGCTACCACCCCAGTACCATCGTAATCCCGTAAAAATGTAAATTTCTCGTGACCCCATACTCATCGCACCGACAGAAGCTGTTTGTGATTCGTCCGTGTGTCCGTTTCCGATGCGTCGAATCGTAGAGAGCGTAGTTAGAACGCATTACAACGCGCATGTAATGCGCTACCCACGGGCAAATATTCACAGATGCGAGAGCCGGGAAAATTCGGCTTTGCGCCGCTCTCGCGCCGCCTAACAGGATTTATTTGTATCCACGTGCGCGTACCGTTCGCGTTTCCAGTTTCTCTTTCTCTCTCTCTTTCATAGTCTCTCTCGTTGTCTCTCTCATGTGCCAATAGAGGAACAGTACATATGTATGCATGTATGTAAGCATAGCCGGTATATAGCAGAACGGCGAGAGAAAGAGAGACGAGTTAGACTAACTAACGGACTACCAGTTCATTAGAGATCGCTAAACTTTAGGGTGCACCGAAAAGGGCGAGTATTTCGTTATTGCCGACCAACGTGTGTTTTATACCAGTCCAATGCTAATAAAGAGGAGTCTTTAAGAGGATTTTTCCTTCACGGTCACCATTTTACGGCACACGTGAAAAAAAATTCTAGGTAAATAAAAAAATTTATAAATCTCGAAGAGAAAAGGAAAATAAAACAAGTAATATTTGATGCGGAAGTAAAAATAAGATTATGATCTCATAATTGTCTTAAGTAATTAGATAAATAAAAAAAATTAAATAAATGAAATTATTTTAATGCTAAGAATTTTCATAACCTTTATAAGAATAAAGGTCAATCATTGTCAAAAACATATTGATCCCATTATCTCTTTAAGAGTTTTAAATTTAGTTAAAAAATTTTTAACAAATTTTCAATTATAGTTTTTGAATTCCGAAATAATTGTTTCTCTTTACTTTATACATGTATGTATTTATATGAATATTCTTTTCACTTTAATCGTATATGCATTGCTTGACATTATCATAATTCAAAAGAAGTTTTCATTTCTTGAAAGACATGCAATCCTTACATCGATCAATTTGTTTCACATGAAGGATATAAGGCGATTTATATGATTATACTGGCATGCGTTTAAAAATAATGCTACTACGGAAAGGTGAAACGGTGAAAAAGAAAGGAATGGAACACTTGCTCTTTTGGTATCAAGTTTATTATAATAATGCATCACAGAAATGATTATTAGAAATATTATTTAGTTCAACTTAATTTTTTTTATAAATAATTAATAAATAGCCAATTCTATTTCTTCATCATTGTATTCAAAACTTTAAAATTTTCAGCAAAATTTCATACTTTTATAACCTCAAAAAAAATATTCGACTTTCCAACAAATTGTAATTTCATAATTTAAAAAAATATTTTTCAGAAATTTTATATAATATTATATAATTTTGTTATAAATTCAAAATTCAGAATACTATATATATACATATATACACACATATGTATAATAATTTTCCACATGATAGCTCTATTCACATATTTATCGTAAGTATTTGGCAGACGGAAATGAGTATTACATTCTGTAAAAAGAATCAATGACGATGAGACTAAATGATACCTCATACCTTTCACAGTTCGATTTCCTTCAGACGAAGGAAGAGAAAAAGGAGAAGGGGAAAAAGCAGCAACGGTTGTCGGTGTAGATGTCTATCGATCGCTGATAATCTACGATCGAGACATCTGATGGCAGCAAGTTATGTAATGGGACGACAAGCAGGAAATAAAATCGACTTGTAATGTCATGACGCATCTTGCGGCGAAGCCAAAGTCACGCACAATGCACGAAACGACAGGTAGATACGAGCATACATTCACCGACGTACATAAACGATTAAGATCTTCGATGCGACGATATCAAACCGACCGACAATAGTGGACCACCAATGAACCGATCGTCGAGCAACAATATATTCCTTCCGGTCGAATCTTGATGATAGCATTTGTACTAACTTTTGTAAGTAGATATAAAGATTTATATTAGATATAACTTCAATTCATTATTCTGATAATAATCTATATTTATTGTTGATTTTTTATTGAAAATTGCTTATTTACGTTAAAAATTAATTAAATCAAAAAGGTTAGATTAGATTTTATTATTTTATTATTTCGAAAGATTTTTTTTTTTAAAATTTATCGAAGTGAAATTATTATTAAATTGTATTTTTTAAATTTATTAAATTTTTATTATTATTATTTATTAGATAATACTAGAAGAAATCAGAATTGAAGAGATTGAAATATACAATGTGCGAACGTGTGTGATACTTTTGAAACTGGATTTCTCAATGCTATGAAGTTGACGAATGTGCTAAGATCACTCAGGTGACTGGCAAATTGTTCGCCAATATTCTCAGCGGTGGTCCACGCTTATCACAATTTCAATCGATAGATTCTGATCTTGAACGAAGACTTCGCCACGCCTTTTGTAAAATAATAGATTTCTAGCTGATTCTGATTCAGACTTCGATATAGTTTGCGATTAAACGATTTATTGCGATTTGTGTATTCCTGCTTAGTGGCTCAATATGTGTCAATCACGAATAGTGTTTATGTAATTACATATATGTGTATAGATATATATGAATATATTGGAATATTTAGATTAATATACAATATTGATATAAAATATTGTATAAATATAAAAATAATTTTATATTTGGTATGTTAATTTAATTTGAAGAGTAATCAGTTGATATTAGTTTTACAATGATTTATCTTTTTAAACCATTAAATAGCAATTCAAGTTTGATGTAACTTTTTTATAGAAAAACACGATTTGCGAAAAGAAGAATTTTTTAGAACAAAGATTATAATTAATTAATTTTATTTATTATACTTATATTTACTTATATTTTATATAAACAGTTTACTTATATAATATATAAATTTTTATATATATGTTATATTATATTAAATATATTACTTATTAATTATTGAATTATATTAATATATTACTTATTAATTAATGAAATAATCTCTTTTTTTTTAATTTCTAAATTCCTGCAATTTTTGACCTATTGTATACGTTTATGTTAAACATCATTTAACAATATAAAAAAAAAGATAAAGTTTTTTAATATTATAAATGGAAGCTTCCGTGACAGTGATGAGAACGTGATATCATGGCGGCTGTTCTAACGATTTTTTAACGATCTCATTCTCGATCGTAAAATTCACTATCTTTGATTAACCAAAAGCCCCGACCATAAGGGTAGCAGAATTATTTCAAAGTAAAAATTCTGTTTTAATGACGAGGGCGTGTTTACGGTAGACAATGTCTCTTAGTTTTTGCTTAAAGATTAGACATTTGAGATGGCGGTGCTCTTAATCAAACTTTGATCATCCCTTTCTCTTTTTCTAATATACGAAAAAATCAGATATTAGCACGAATATCTCGCAACGATGATTTTTTTGATGATTTCTGAAATTATAAATCAAGCAATCAACTGCTATAAAAGTCCACCTACGTATTTTTTTCCTATCAAATGACGAATTTTTCGTTGTCTTTTTTTTCTTTTTGGAAGGATGTAACAATAAAGAATAAAGTTTTTGAGTAAACTGAAATTATTTTTCTGTTGATTTGTGAAATTATAGATTATAGCAATGGGAATGTATTTGGAAAAGAACAGAGCTATCATATTAAAAAATTACGCTTTATATGAAAAAAAAAAAGATCAATATTTCTCAATCTATGAATCGCAACATGCCCGAGTCAAGCAAGAGAATTGAGAAACATTGCAAAAAATTAAAATATCAAAGATAAAAAAATTGAAAATAATCTTTGAAATCATATATGTATAGAAAAAAAAAGATCTTTTGCTACATCAATAATAAGAATAATTTAGATAATCTATTTTATATAAATATTCTTCCTCTCAATATCAGCAATCCTCAAAATATCGTGTCGCGATTGCGATTCGTCATGGTAACTTTTTTCCGCCCGACGCGGACGGGTCGAGCGAAGACGATTGTCGCACCAACAAAATACACGAGTGGCCGGGGTCCGGGTGAAAAGAAATCAGGACCAGTCCGGGCCCCGTGCATTGTCGCGGCTAGAACCGACGTGTATGCTATATATAATCGAGAAGTTTAAGAGTACAATACCGCATAAATCAGCGATCATCGCGTAGCCTTGCGCATGGCCAATTCACACAGATACACATGTGGGCGTGTTACCGCACACGCGACCCGAATCCGACCCGAATCGCGTACCTTATCGCCGATTTTCCGTTCTTTACGAGCCTTGATAACCGAAGTAAGCCAGATTGCATGCGATACACACGACCGATTATGATTTAATGGAATAGCCAAAAGCTATGTTGCGGCGTTGCAATCGCGGAATTTGATGGATACAAATGTTCGAACAAATGAGAATTTTCGATAGATTTATAAGAAATGAAGATTTATATTCATAATGTAAAAGGAATTGAAATCGTAAAAATTGATTTAAATCAATTTACAAATATCGATATTTCTACATATATATATATATATATATATATAATTATGAGATAACTTAACCTATAAGGAAAAATAATTTTCAATTTGTAAATTTTATCTATTATTTTTAAGTCTTCATAAATTAATCTTTTCAATCATTTAATCATTTTTTGAGCTCTATATAACTTAAAAAACAAATTAAAAAGATATATAATGGCACAATGTTTAAGAGCATTCATTTGCTCTTTATCTTTATTTTACTATGTTAAATGTGTGTGTATATATATATATATAAAATTTAAAATTAATAGATTAGATACGAAACTTTTGATTAATATATACTTATGTCTATGTTTTAATCCGTAAAAAAAATCCAATCAAAACTATAATCTTTTCTAATGCTTTGCAACAAAATATATATATGTATATCACGAAAATATTCATATTATATGAATATGCCATATTATCATATTATGCATGTAAACAAATAGACGTGTATCTAGATCGCAAATGATGGAAACGTATTCTGATTTGTATTCACTCGTCGTGCAAGCCCAATCATTCTATTTGCGAGTGGATGAGACGAAATGAAATCCAGAAATTTGGCTTATTCTACTCGCGAACGCGTCAGCTTTATTACTTTCATTAATAATCATTCGGTTTCTCTTTGGATAAAGCGATGAATATCTGATAAATTTGTACTTGCCATGAATTTTCTATATATTTTTCAGGAAAAATTTTAGATAGCATTAGGAATCAAATATATTTTATAAATTAAATTATATAGATTCTTGAACAAATAATGAATTAATATTTTTTTTTTAATTTTTCATTAAGATTATAAAAATAACTCTACTTTGTACTCATAAAATTAATTAATTTGAATATTAATTGTATGTTTTTTAAGAATGCTTTTAAGATTACAAATAGTAAAAAAATAGATTCGACAAATGAATCTTCGATAATGTCAATTTTCGATAAAATGATTCAACATTTTTTTTTATTTCTTTGTTGTTAAATTGAAGTTTTTGTTTTTTAAATCACACTGTAATCATCAAATGATTAAAATATTAAAACTTATATCAAGATATAAGTATAATAAGATATAAAATATTTGTTATATTATGTTTTGTAAGATTGCTCAGAGATACATTGTAGCTGAAAATATATTTTTATTTTTTATATTAAAAGTTAAGACACATTGTTCTGAAAAAAAATAGTAAAAGTTATTCTTTACTTAGGATAAATTATTTTATCTATGATTGCGTCAAAATCAAATATGAACAAGAATAGTGAAAAAAGGACAGAGATACGATAAAAATATTGAAATCAGCGCCATCTCCAGAGTGCCGTAAATGAAACTTATAAAGAAAGGATAGAAAATATTAGGAAAAGGATAAAAATAAAATAAGAATTGACTACTAACGTCATCTTTTAAACACTAAAGTATTTCTTCGAGTTAAGATAAAGAACTCAAAAGATGGCAGTAATACTTAATTCTATTTTAAAATGTACTTTAAAGATGGCGCTGTTAGTCAATTCTTATTATATTTCTATCCTTCTTCGATTATTTGTTTTCTTTGTCTACATTTATGTTTAATTTGCGGCATTCTAGAGATGGCGTTGATATCAATATTTTTATTCTATCTCTGTCCTTCTTCCACTATTTTCTCTCCTTGTCTACGAAATTTATATACTTATAAATTTATATTCAAAAGACCAATCTAATAACTGAGTAATTATCTAGAAATCTTAAACTTTTTGTATAAGAAAAAAAATTACTTTTCATTTGCTGCATATATTCATCCATAAATTGAATATATTAGATGCAGTATGAAAGTGATAAAAAAATTTGATTTCAAATATTGTAAATAAATAATAAACATGTGGTGCTAATGTGCTTAAATATATCAAATACAATAAAGAACAAGTTCAATTAATTATAATATTATTAAAATAATGAATAATTTATTTTTGAACAAATTTTAACAAATTCACTAATAATAGTTATGTTCTAACCTCATTTATATAAATTTTCATTAAATATTTACATCTACATACATTTCACGACATAATTATTACGAATATGGCATCAATTTTAAAGACTTTTAATGGAATTCAACTATTCAATAAATATTTGAAACAAAGGTATTGATTAATAATTATATATAATTAATAAATTTAATTTATTGTATATTTAAATTTTCAAAAAATAAATTTTTTATTTATTCAAGTACTTATTTCTATGTAATTAATGTGTTTATTTTAGTATTGATAAAATATATATTCCTACTCGTGGTAGAAGATTAAATCCTCCACCAAAGAAACGTCATCCAGAATGGCTTCCAAAACCAACACGTGTAGTATGTATTTTAAAAAATAAAAATAATATTTCATTTCTTAATATTTTGCAAGAATTTTATATAAATATTGTTATATAATATATAATATTATTTATATTAGTTATACAATGAAGAACTTACTTCAGAAAATAAAGAATTTCTCTCAGAAATTGTTTCATCCACTAAAGGACTACTCAATAAGAATACATCTCCATTAAATAAAGAATTAATTCAATCAAATGCAACATGGACTCCAGGTTCTAAACGTACTGGTTTAATTGGCAAAAAGATAGGAGTATATCCAATGTGGTTAAAAAATGGACAAAAAGTATTAACTACTCTAATACAGGTATTATCATATAATAAAATATTGAATTTTATATAAAAAAAATATATATATTTCATATATAAATTCTCCATTTCTTAATAGATTGTAGATAATGAAGTTGTAAAATATATACCACCAGAAGAATATAAACCAGTTAAACCTATTAGACATAGAGTTAAAGTAAAAAATGGTTGTCTTGTATTAGGTGCTATAAATATTGATCCACAATTAGTAAGTTGCAATTTATTTTTTTTTTTATGTTTATTCATTGTTTTGCAAAAATAAAATTTGTTATTAATTTTTGCAGCTTACTAAAGAATATTATGGAATATTTAATTCAGCAGGAGTTACACCAAAAAAAATATTAATGAGATTTACAATTTCACCAAATGCTGTTCTTCAACCAGGAACTCCTTTGTATGCAACCCATTTTAAACCAGGAGAATTTATTGATATTCGTGGAAAAACGTAATTCTTTTATCAATATTTACAATCTCAATGTGAAATATTTAATAATCAATCATAATAATATATTTTTATAAACATAGAATAGATCGTGGCTTTCAAGGTGTTATGAAAAGATGGGGCTTTAAAGGTATGCCTGCTTCTCATGGTGTAACTAAAACGCATAGAAGACCAGGTAATATAGGTTCAGGAGGTGCATTGGCTAGAGTAATGCCAGGCACTAAAATGCCTGGACACATGGGAAATCGTTGGCGTATTCTTAAAGGTGTAAAGGTAATTTATACTATTCTTTTATCTAGAATTACTTTTACTTTGAATATATCTGATATAGATTAATAAATTTTTATTTTTTTTTTTGTCAAACATAATCATTTAAAAAAATCAGCATATAATTTTATATTGATATTATATGAATTCTTATAAAATAATATATTTTTTCATCAGTTATATTTTTTCTTAACCATTTATATTTATGATAAATTATAAAAGAAGTTTAAAAAATGAACTAAATGAATGAATGAAAAAAATAATTCATTCTCATTCATTTTCAGAAATGTATGAAATAAGCAAAAAAAGTCAATATAGTTTAATCTTTTTTCTTATTATTTTTTTATGTATAACAATATATTAAAAAGTACAATTAAATTTCTATTTTTCAATAGAATCACGTAATTTGTTTTAGCATTTCCAATTCATCAATTAGATTGAATAAGTAATTTATTAATATAGTAACTGTATCAAATTATTATTTATACATAATATATTTTATATATGAACACTATTTGTTGTAAATATTTTTTTCAAGTTTTATACAAAGATAATGAATATTTATTTTTTGTATAGAATTTTACAAAAAAAGTATTTGAAGGGTTGAGGATCAATATAACTACAAAAATCTATTTAATTTCTTCATTCATCTGTAATAATTGTTAAAAATTATGCATAACATGTATAACATTTCAGTTAATTTTTTTTTGTACAATTCGTATTTAAAGAATGAAATATTTTTTCCATATAAAATATGTTTAATAAATGGAAATAAGATATATTAAATTCTGAAATGTTTACATGAAATATTTGAACAAGTAAATATTTATGATGAAACATTTGAAGATTTCTTTACATTATTAAACAATTACAAAATATTAATTTAAATGTATATTACTTTTGAAAGGAAGATATTATACAGCAATGACATTCTAAAATTACAACAACTAACAAGAAACATATATTCACAATTTATAAAACTTATATTATTCATTTATTATTTATTTAAAAATTAGAGTGTAATATGAATCATATAGAAATTTTCAAGAATGATAAATTAGTAATAGTACATCAAATAATTCATTAATGAGACACATAATAATTATTCCCCCTAATATTCTACAAATAAAAATTCTAATTATAATTTCATTTAAATATGTAAAATTAATACAAAAACAAAATTAAATTTTTTTGTAACTTTTTGAGCATTATATTTACCTACATATAGTTTTTTCCATTAAGTAAAATAAAAATTTTTAACTATTAAAAATCATGAAAAAAAAAATTATAAATTAATAAAAAATCTTAATTTTTCATAATTGGAACAGTGAATTAGCAGTAATTACGAATAAATCATTGTTAAGATTCAATTTTTAAAAAGAATTCATAAATAAAATAATAAATAATTTCAACAATATAATATATTGAAAGATTATTAACAATATTATTAAGAATTAGAATGACTTCAAATCATTATCGAACTTTTGTATGTATGTTGCAGATACTACGAATAAACACTAAATATAATGTAATTTGGGTATTAGCTCAAAACGTACCAGGAGAGCTAAATACTATGTGCTATTTATACGATACGATTTTACCTACTAAAAAAAGTACTTCGCCATATTTTCCTACATATTTGCCAAATGAAAGTGAACTACCTGAAAATCTTTATGCAGACGATGTTCATCCATTTGAAAATCCTACAATTGAATTCCAATCAGAATCATAATTGTAATAATGTAATAAATAAAAAAAATACTTTATAAGGACATGTTTTATGAAAATATTTAAATCTCTTCAAATTTTTAGATAACCTGTCCATTCACACTATCGAAAGACTAGGCAAAGATCGGCAATTAAAATTGCCGCATTTACGTAATAGTTTTATTGTTTATCCTCTTCCCCTTACAGAAATAATTCATAGTCATGAATTAAGCTAATAAAGAGTAGTCAATTGATTTATTTATTTCGTAATCAATATTATTATAAATTTAACATGCCTAAAATATACACGAATTATTTTATAAATGTAACATCACTAACCAAGATTCATCTCAAGTTAGAGTGGAGAGCAGCACGATCAAACAATAAAAAAGTTTTTCTTTTCTTTTTCTGTGACGCTCTTCAATTTAGAGAGCAAATTCATTAATTTACTAGAATAATTTAGTCGGTGTAATGCATATCAATAGCTGCATTCGGTTCCGCTCCACTAAGCATTTTAATACGTGCAACGGAAAAGGAAACAAGGTAAAGTACACATCGTTCAAGAATAAAAAAAGGAAAGAATACAAATTCTTATTTCAATAAGAAACTCCTTTGCTCTGTAACTTTAGCCTCGTTTTTTTTCTAATTTCTCACTTTTTGGACAAACCAAAAATGTAAGTCATAATTTTATGTTTTTGAATTAGTAAAACCAAATACAATTGTTGATTCAACAATGTCACGTTGAAATTGCCACATGTAGTCGTTGAAGAAAGAATGAGACAGAATATAAAAGGGTAAGCAGAATGGCTCCGTAATGGAGATTTTCGGGGGACGGCACGATCAGATAAAAAATAATGGAGGCCCTCTCAGAATTTAAAACCTTCATTCGAAATGCTCGTCGTCTGATCGAATTCAAATGTTGATTCCACGACTTGTGGTTCCAGATTTGTATCATTCGTCTAAAAATTAGAAAATACATATTTTTTTCATGTTAAAAACATTAATGGAAATTATTTATTAATTATAAAAATAAAATAAATACATACATCTTCCGAAAAGTATTGCTCAATAATTTCGTATGCTAGTTTATAAATATCTATGTTGTCGTGATTTTGCAATGTTTCGATTTTATCCAGTCCTATGAAAATACATTTCATAGTATAAATTTATATTTATATTTATTTTTGTGTTGTACACAATATTATGTATTATAAAAGAAAAAAAGATAAATACTAACCTGAACATTCTTCAATCATATTAGCCAAATGTTCAACTTGTGATCCAGCAAGTTTGAGCATATTATGTATACCATCTAAAACAACCTGTACAACTTGAGTATCTTTACAGTCAAGGAGGTTACAGAATGGTCCAATAACACCTTCTTGTATCATTCGTGCAACTTGTTCTTCATTACCACTTATTGTTAAATTGCTAATTGCCCATGCTGCTTCTTTTTGTGTTTGGAATTCACCCTGATAAAAGATAAATTTATTATTAAAACAAATGATTCAATTTAACAAATTTCAATATTTTAATAAAAGTATTTTCTTACATTAATTAAATTATGAATAATAAGAGGCAGTAATCCAGCATCTATAACTGCTTGAACCTGAGATTGATTGCCAGCAGTTACATTTGAAAGGAACCAAACTGCTTCTTTACAAATTTTTTCCCTCGTATGGGTTAATAAATTCGGAAAATATGAAAGTGCGTCACAATTTAATACAGTTTGTGTTTGTTCGTCTGTACCTGTTACTATATTACCTACTGCCCTTAAAGCAGCTGTTTGCACCTTAACTTCTTTGTGCGAAAGAAGTGGTATGAGACGAGGTACTACACCACTGTCTATAACCATCTGAATTTGTTCATTACCACCATCAGTCAAATAACTCAATGCCCAAATTGTATCGACAAGAATCTGCAATTTTATTTTGTATATAAACAATTATTTCTAATCATTAATGATTATTTTTTAATTATATATAATATTATATATTTTATAATATTGTAACTTACATTAATATCTGAATGATGAATAAGTACATTAAGAGCAGGTAAAATTTCTTTAATAGTTTGAACAGGTGGTGGTGGATCTTTATTCCTACATAAATTTACGATTACCCAAGTTACATTACGTAAAAAACTAATTGGTATTTCTGGTTTGATAAACGTTAACAATGGCGGTACAACGCCAAGCTTGATAACATAATCCCTAGATGCTGGGCCATCTCCAATAATATTTCCTAAAATGAATAAACAATGATAAAAATATGTTGATATTTTTCAATGATAAAAAATGTGTTCAAACAATAAAAAATGAAAATAAAATAATAATATATCAAAACATAATTTAAATTTAATATCATAAATAAATTTTTTGTTTTCTTTTTTTTTAGATATGTTATAATTTTAATTATAATGTTTTTTTTTATATTTATATTAATTTACCTAAAGCCCATACAGCTTGTTCACAAACATTCTGTTGACTTGAAAGTAACAAATGCAAAAAATGTGGAACTGCACCAGCTGCAACAACTGCTTGTGTTTGAGGTGATGTTCCACTTGCAATGTTCGTTAAAGCCCATGCTGCTTCAAATTGTAATGATGGACTGTAAAGTATTAAAAATTAATAATAGACTCAAATATTAATAAAAAACAGAAAATTTATCATAATTAATAATAAAAATATATATATATATATTCTAAATTTATAAAAATTCTAGCAATCAAAAATTTCATTTGTGATCAAACTTTTTCTAATAAAAAAATAAGCCAATCGTAATGTGCGCGCGCATGCGCTATAAATTAAGATTATATGCAAATTTAATCATACCTATTGTGCTGTTCAAGACAATTAACTAAGATCGGTAAAATGCCACTATCAATTAACTTATCGATCGGTGGATTACGATCTGAAGATAATAACTTTCTTGCTGATTGTACCGCTTGCAATTGAACAGTTGGGTCTGAACTAGCAGCTTTCATTACTAGTTCCTTTAAATTGATTTTTGACAAATCAAGGTTCTGTTTATCACTATCTTCTTCATCTAAAATAAAATATATTATAATTTATTTTTTATTTAATTCTTTATATTTATTTTTTCTATTTAATGTTATATAAATTTTTTATTTGTAATAATTTTACCTATTAAATCTGTAGCAGGCACATTTCTTCTTTTCTGTAAAGTTTCATCACGTTTGTTTTTCCGTAGCTCTACTGTTGCTTCATTTCTTCTTCTTCTCATTTCCTAAAACATATTATCATCTAAATGCTTTTAAATCAATATTAATTAATATTGATATAACATTATCTTTCTTAATATTTCATTAATCTTTCTTAAATCTAAATTTATCTAAAAAAAGATATTAGATTAAAATATGTATATTACAAAAATAATATATAAAATATATATAAAAATATATATAAAAAATAATATATAAATAATATATAAAAAATAATATATAATATATGACAAAAAAGTAACTAAAATAAATTTCTGTATAAATAAAAATATATTACAGTAATTTTTAAAATTAAAAAATTTTTTTAATTTTAATATTAAAATTAGTTTCAATAATATTAATTTTAAAAATTTGGAAATAATATATTGTATAATAATAATTAACATTAACTATATTTTTATGACAAATAAAAATTAAATATTAAAGGTTAAATATCTTGCTTTATGTAATATAACAAAATATGCATAACAATCATATATTTTTTACAATTTAATAATATTTTATATTAATAATACATATTTATTTAAATAAGTTTTCAAACTTTAATGAAACATATCAAATTCCATAATTTAAAATATGTTTAATAATAATATTAAAATCTTACATAAAAAAATAAAATACCATAATAAGAAAATATATACTTATATTTAACAATTAATAAAATATTATTATTATATTATTAATAATTTCTAAATATGATAATGGAAAACTTTATTTTTTAATATTTTTTCATTAATATTATTTTGATATTTACAAAAAATTCAAATGAATTTTAATACATTATTATAATATATATAGAGAAAGATATATTATTTATATACTATAGAATCAAAATTATTTGTAATACCTTTTGAAAGGTTTTTTAATTAAAATAAAAAATATGTAAAAAAAAAGTGAATTATTTATATCAAAAATAAAAGGTAAATAAAAATAAATTATTTATAAAATTTTTAAAGAAATAGTTAAAATAATATAACTTTTCTTTTTTACAATTATTCGTTCAGTTCTATCTTTGATAGTGCTATATTTGACATTAATGTAACGACACTTTCCACTTGTTTCAGAATGGCATGATTCTATTCAAAATATAATACTGTTATATTTGATAAAGTTATATTAAGAATTTTTATGGATTCTGTGCAAAATAAATATACAGAAATATCCAAAATTCCAACTGAAACAACAAAATATGCAAATAAATTGCACAAATTTGGAAAAATTAGCGCCCATGATAATGTTCATTTAGTCGCCCAGTTCAGTAGCCGAAACTTCCAGACGTATAACGTAACTGCGCACAACGAAGAACACACTGGATACTCACTTCTTGATCTTTGCCTTTGTTCTTAAAAACCATCATTCGATTCTTACATTCCGCCGCCATTTTTTCAATAACCAATCCTTCGTACTCGCGTATATTGATATGTGCCGGCACCCAGATACCCGTGTTACTGCGAAAAATTCTGTATCCGTGTTACTCCGGTCGATTTACTTCGACAGCTGCATGCCGTTGCGCGACAGCCTTAATGTACGTCAATATACAATATAATATAATGTATAACACTCGTTCTCTTGATCACGATCGCCACACAATGTTCTCCGTAGTCACGTTTTCTCAGCACGAAAGCAACGTTTCAGCCATTCCGAAAAGAACATCGGAAATGAGCAAGGTGGCGCTTCGGAAGACGCGTGTTTTCACTATGCAATCAGTAAAATCTAATCGGCAAGCAATAGAGCCACGGATTATAGCAAATTCTTATCATCTTAAAGCTATATGTTCATGAGCATTTATGTTTCATAAATAACTTCTGTGTTTTTAAAATTAGAATTAAATAATAAAAGAATTAACGTTTGCAATTATTTTTAAAAATGAGTTATTATGATAAAAAAAATATATAGTCATTAATAATAAAAAAAAATAATAATTTCAAATATAATAATAAAACATTTATAATAAAATGAATCAACAACATTGTATGATTGCAGTTACCATATATTTATGTTGGTATCTTACAACTAAAAATTAAAATCTCTATATGTTATTTGAAATCAACTGTAGTTATATTGCAGCTTATAATATAGAAAATTTAATTAAATAAATTTATTATGCATAAAAAATAAATGAAACAATGAAACTTGTGTTGTTGCTTTTATAATAAGATTAAATTTTAAATGTTTAAAAATTTTTTATGTATTTTTATAGATTTTGATGAATAAAATTTAGAAATAAAAATTTTAATTGCCAGAATTAGTGATGTAAGAATTATTTGCACATTTCATATTTTAGGGATTTTTGCAAGTTACATGATGGATTCTTATCCAATCCGCTTAAAGAAACTAAATTCAAGTTATTTTTTAATTAAAGAACTTATTATATGTTTATAACTATTTATTCAAAAATATATTATTATAAATATTCGCACAAATAATAATATGAAAAATTATCATTGTGATATTATTCTCTTTCTATATCTATGTGATTTTTATACTTTTGAATTTTTGTGTTTATTTAGAAGTCTAAGATTTAACAAAATTAATAATGATATGCTTCATATCACTTTTGCATTAAATATAATTTCAACAAAATAGAATATAAATATTAATTTTTTGAAAAGAATTAATCGATATATGTATAATATTTTGGATTAGTATTTACTTTTTTGCTGGGATATTTTTCTACCACATAAATGGTCATAATATTATATTGTTTCCGAGATAATCGAATTACAGCTCCGCAATAAGTTCTAAGAGTAAAATAATATCCAAATTCTAAAGCTATAAAAATAGAAAATCCTAAAAAAAGACCTGCAATACCACCGAATGATACAAGTAAATCTAAATAACCAAATCGCATTTCTCTTTTATGAAGGGCTGTTGGCCAGTTTTTTAACATAATTCGATTTTTATCTTCAAATAGTTTCATACTTTTTACACTATATGATGTATGATCACAAAAGGGCCAACAATTACATTGGGTTTTATCAATATTAATATGGTTTAAACAGGGATACCTTGAAATTGGACATTCTGTCTTATCGACAAATGATAAAAACCATGGCAAACATTTACAATATTTAAATAGTTTATCGATTACGCAATCAATTTCGCAATCAATAAGATTTTTACTCTCTTGCTTATAATAACATTGTCGTTGTCGAAGAGATAAATATTTAATGTCAGGAGTTGTATATGTTACATCAACAACAAATTCTATATCTAGAGATTTATCTACTATGAGAGATCTTTCACCTGGTTCTGGACTCGAATTATTTTGTTCCGTGAGATAAAATCTATAATATGAAAAATAAATAATAACATATAATAATTATATTAACTACTTTATACATTATATAATTTTTTTAAATATAATCAATAGTGTTTATGATAAAAAAATTATTTATAAAAATTAGATTTTGATATAAAAAAATTATTGATTTGAATTAATTGAATTATTGATTGAATTAATAAATATTACCTTAAAGGAAAACTTGAATTAGGGATTTTAAATTCAAGATTCCATGAAATATCTGTATACTTAAGTGACTCTAAATTTTTAGATTTACAACATATACCCACTGCAGTCAATACTTTCGTAAATATATTTTTACACGATCTATTCATTCCTCTAAAAAGCAATAATATGATTTATAATTTAATCAAATATAAATGAGTTTTTTTTATTAATAATTATTTTCTTTTTCTAAATAATTTTATCTTATTTTAAAATATTAAACTTTGAGTAGTAATGAATATATATATGTATAAAGATAATATTTTTAATTTCATAAATGAAATAATATATATGTATTTATCATATTTACCTGTATGCACAGTTACTAAATAAAGAATTACAATCAAGTTCCATCGCTTTAAAAATTTTTCGAAAATTATTTTTGTTTTTATAAATTGAATGAAATGATTTCATATCAATATATTTTCCAATATTCCAATTGTATAATTCTTCGTATACATACATTTCATTCTATATATATATATATATATGTATATACATGTATACATAAAAATATTGAATATTAGTGTATAAATATAATGATATAAATGTAATATTAAAATATATTCAAATAAAATAAAATTATATCTAAAAAATGCGTTTACCTCAAGTATATGCGAATGATTCAAATGAATCCAATCGAAGCAAATAAAGATTTGAGGAAATTCGATATCAATGTGCTCTGTTATTACATCCACTCCGGTTATTGTTGGTTGCGTTTGAAATTTGTTCAAGATAATTACGATTGTAATAAAAATCGCTATTACTGATGTCATTGATAAAAATAACCATATTAATCTGCAGACATTCCAATTATATATAATATATTATAATAATAAGTAATAACATATAATAATAAATAATATTAATATGGCAAACTGATAATTTTTGAATCATAATTTTTAAAATTTGAGTTTATCATATTTTTCGATTTTTTAATAAATAAATAAATAATTTCTGGAACTAAATATATGTAATATGTTACTTAACTAACATTAATTTATTGTCAATTGACAATCATAATTTAATTTGTATATTAAATTATAATATTACCTTTCCCATTTAGGTCGTGTAGGATCCACGAAATATGGAATGCCATGCAAACTATTCTGCAAAAAATATTCTCTTGATCTATACTTCAAACTACTACGTAATTCCTTTAAAGATATATTATATTTATATTTCATTTTGAACCAGCTATCTTTACAGTTATACTAATACTAAGTGGAATAAGGAAATCCAATTAATCTTTTTTTTGAATTGCATGTCAAGTTTGAACATGTATTATGCATGTTGTGCATATAACACGATTAATTTATCAGCTTTATCAACTAAATAGAGAAAAATATGATTTTAGATTAATATATTATAAAGTAAAATAGCAAAATTCTCTACAAATATTCATGATATAATAAAGCATTTTATTGAATTAATTTCAATTATTTTTTAAATTAATACATTTTTTTAGTACTATGTCCTATTTTTAAATAAATAACAATGATATCATTGTGATTTATTATTTATTTCAGTGGAATTACTTAATATTTTGCTTGCAATTAGAAGAATATTATCATTTTGAAAAAATAATAGAAATATTTTATAATTTTTAATTTCAATTTCAATGAAATCGATATATCGAAAAATAAAAAAATATGTTACATTTCCCATTAAAAAAGAACAAAATAGAATAATATTTATTGTTTCTTCTTTTTAAGTTGAAAAACGATTGTCTACAGGAAACTATCGATAACTATTGGTTTATTCGAAGTATTGTCTTTCGAATATACGTTTTTCCAGTTGTATCTCGTCATTTAAGAATCGGCCATCGTACGTGAAAACACAAACATTCCTCATCTTCATGTCAGCTTCTTTATTATTTTAGACCACCCCCTCTTACGACCACCATCTGCATGCATACCGACGCTGTTCCGGTGCTCAAGGAAAATCGACGATCAGCAACTTAAGCGGGTGTAAACTACCCTCTTGATGTCTTCCTTGGATCCAATTTCATTTAAAAATTCCCCATATTTCGGAACATAATGGGAAAAGTTATCGTTTTTCATCGTCGACATTGGAATATTGTTTTCCTAACCTAAAAGACATATTTCTCCATCGAATATTGTTTTCCATCTAAATAAATAAATATTAATCGAAATTTCGTAACTTCGAAAAGAAATATTATAGAAAAATTCGTTTTAAACAGTAAAATCTTTACCTTTTTTCTGAATTCTTAAATCTTTTTGAATGAAAAGTACACAACTCTCTCTTTTTAACTTCAATCGAAATTATATACACTGAAATAATAAAAAGCTCATCTAGAAATAAAGCAAAAGGAAGAAAAAAAAGAGGAAGAAAAATATAAAAAAATTCGCTTTGTTCAGGAAGCCGTTTGACGCACGGGCGAGAAAATACTTCGGAGAAAAAAGAAGCGGCGCTATTCTTGCGTCCAGGTGTGAGCCTGTAACGCCAATGTAAATATACAACACTTACGCCATTCCAAAGGAGCCTCTTCGAAAACTATTAACGTATTCCTCTTGTATTGCAGCTTCACCGACCATTTTTCCATTCTGGCCCATTTCTCTTTCCATTGGACTATTTCGGCACATTAAGTGGCACGTGTTAGAGAACTTAATCAGGTGGACCACTGTTGTCAAACACCCACCGACACGATCATCGTTCATGTTTACGATCGTCCAAAGATTTAAAGTGTCATTTCGAGAGCACCGGTGATTTGAAATTTGAGAATAACTTTCTATGTTGTCATAACAATAAACATGTGATCTATATACAATAGGGTGAAAAAAATCAAAATTTTGTAATAATGAAAGAAACATGCATTGTTTTCTTTTTTACGTATAAATTGATTCTTCTGATGTCCTAAATAAATATTCGATAGTGTTGAAAAAAATAATATCTTATGTTCATATTTTTAATGAAGAATTTCGTTTAATCCTTAAATGGAGTGATATAAATTTTAGAAAAATTCGATAAGAGTCGAATAGCAGTTTGAATCTTTACGTAGATTTTTGAAAAATAACTAAATAAAATTGTATTTTGAGATAAAAAAAAATTGTTAAACAAAATACAAAATTTTTCTCCATAATTTTTGCCAATTATTATCAACATAATTATAATCCAATTATTACACATATTTTTCGTAATTGTCTTCGATTTTCAATGAATAAGCTCAATGTTGATAGAAATTTATTATCATAAGATTTGTGACTTTATTATATAAATAGATAATGTTTCACTAATTTTATTTTTGTGCGATATATGACCGTTATGTCGATGAACTTTTCTTAATTGGTGACTTTTCGTAATTGATCTGCTTCTTGTTCAAATTGATTAGATTTCAAAGCTTTTCACATACTTAATACTCAACGTCGTTCAAACTGAAATGGAATCCGATTACTGCGCGTCAGGAATACGATAATAAATAAAAGATCAAATTAATACAAACCTATTAAACAAATAATTTCTGTAGTAATACTTTTATAATATATTTAATTTTATGAAACATCGAATTTACAACGAATTTTGTCTGTAATAAAAATACAACAAAAAAAAAAAAAAATAACAGGAAAATAAAGAAAACTCAATGTTTTTCTGAAATTATATATAATAATTCGTCAAGGCGAATAATTTACATTCCCATATCGTCTAATTTCATCGTAATAGAAGATTTGATATTTCAATACGACGTTAATAAACATAATATGATTTTCATTCCACGATTTACGTAACGCGTTTAAAGAAGCAAAACAACGATTCGAAAAGCTAATTTTTATATTGCATCCGATTAATCGAGATTATACACATATATACGAGAGATGAAAATGGTGTAGTGGTAGTGATTCGTTTATCGCGATCAGAAGCTGAAAAGTCAAGTTGTTCACGAACAGAGTGGCAGAGTGGGGTAAGTGGCGCCCAGTTGGACACCAGTGTATCAAACTGATCGCGATATACACTGGTTAATTATTAGTGGCGCAAAATTCAAGCCATGTCTTTACGAACAACTCTCCGACAGATTTGATCTTCATGTTTTTTTTTATTATTCCTTTACTCAAGTTTGCTTTGAGATCTCATCTTTAATAATTTTGATAGTGATTGATAGCCTCGTTGTAACGCGAATCCTTTGGAGAGGTTCATTAAATATCCACGCATACTTGATCAGGATTGAACAATATTTATTTGAAACGGATGTAAAAGATAGAATAGAATGAACGAATTATATTTCATTCTAATAAATGATTACCTTATAAATTATCTCTTATATTATGTATTATTCATTTATATATTATAAATTGTGAAATATTTATTGAAAAATGAATTATTGAAAGATGTTTGCAAATAAATAATCAAAATTTTATTTGAAAAATTATATCCAAATAATTTTGAGAGACGAGACAAAGGCGGTTTTGAATCAGAAATTTAAGAATTAGAATTTTAATTCTAGACATATTTTTGTAGAATTTTTATATCAATGAACAAATATAAATCTTTGCATATTACTAAAACTCTTATCTGCAAAAAACTTAAGTTTTGAATAATAATTTATTTTTTATACAAATTGAAACTTAAAATACAAAACTTGTAAAAATTAAAAGGAAGAAATTTGTTAAAAATTATACATTATTATACATTTGTTTAATTCTTCAAATATATATCCATACGTTTTTAATATTAATAATTGATTAAAAGCATTACCACCAACCCAGGAACATGACACATACACCCTACAAGAAATTACTTACGATCAAATCGATCACAACACACGAAAAAAATTAATTTATTCGATTAAAACGAAATTTCATCCAGGCCTAATAATATCGTGGCCCAAGAAGGGTGGAGTCCCATAAGTTGGCACGTGTCAGAGATTAAAAGGCGCAACAAGAGGCCTCTACCCTTAAGTCGGCCGAAAAACCGACGAGATTACGAGGAACCGCATCGCTTCTGCCTCTCCCCGATAGCGTAGGTCGAGCCACGACGATGATGAACCACGGCTCGTCCCTCCTCGCGTAAATCCTTGCTCGGTCTAAAATCCATGTGGGTGCCGTGAACACGCTTCGATCGTGTCTGTATGAGTGACCGAGTTCCCTTGTGTTGCACGCCAATACGAGCGAGTTCTCGAAGGCGGTCTTTAGTCGGCCTTTAGTTTCGAATAAGCATTCGTCGAAGATAGAGGACCCCTCCTCGATTTATCCTTTAACCGGCGGGTTTCCTCTTCCGGCTTAACTCTTGTCCCTCGATCCTTGGCCCCAAAAGTTTCCAGCTTTAATCCAGCTGGACGTTGCGCGGTGCTTTCCTGCAAATAAAAATGAATTTATCCTCGAGTCGATTTTTAATTTTTAATTTTGGAATT